GGCAGGAGCGGCTCTGACAGTTTCGCCAAGTGCCAGGAGTGGGGTCTGATGAGAGGAACGCTGCGCCTGTGAATGAAGGAGAGGGAAAGACCCCGGTGAGGACTCGTCACAAAAAGGACTTTTTTCTTGGYGTCAACAGGACCGTCAAGCTTTGAACACAGTCTTTTTGCCCAAACGTGATTCCTTCCAGCTAAGATCACAAAGATAACATACTTTCTCAGAAGCACAGCTGTGAGTGTGTTGCTCATACAGTAAGTGAAGCATAAACCTACAGCGGCAGATTTTGTGGCAACGGCTTCCTCACAAGTTTGTTTGAACGTCTACTCTTAAAAACTCATCTTACAAACACACATTTGGTTTTCCTGGTTTGATCTAAAGCCAGGCAATCCAGCACATCCCGAGATATTCACTGTTTCCCTCTGACGGACTTCTGATCTCACACACAGGCCAGATTCAACTGAACCTCCTGTTGATAAACTGTCAATGTGTGATGAAAAAACAAAGAGGAGGAAAAACATAAAAGGTGAGCGGACAGCTGTAAATGTTTCGTTCRTTGAGTCTGAAAGAACTTTATGTTTTTTAAAACAACACACTGGTGGGAATCCTGCTGCTGGGTGGAAGTGAAGGGCAGAGAAAAGCTGCTGACTTGTGGCCTAAGATTGGATCCGATTTAAAGTCAGAAATGTGAGGTTTGCTATAAGCCTTCCTCRTGTAAGCCACTGACTTTACAAAACACTCGGAAGTGAAAACATTTAGGTATCAAATCTGTAACTGAGAAAACACTAAATGACTGTTTAAAAAAAAACATACATATTCAACTAAATAAACTCAATGAGGCTAAATGGAATATCCAATATTGAGAATGGGCACTAAAGCCAAATAGAGAAACCTTAAAGTTAAAAATAYATATTTATATAAGACATAAAATAATGTGGTTAAAATTTGCTATTTAAAACTTAACACAAAAACAGAGACTTAGGCTACTTCACACTGCAGACACAAGCAACTCAAATCTGATTCCGTAGTACTATGCGACCCATATCGGATATTTTCATGACAGTCTGAATGCAAAAAAATCTGTTTTTTCCTTTTTCAAATCCRACACATACTGATGTTTCAAAGCGACTGCAGTGYGAACACTCGTGTCAAATTTCATCTGTGAGGTGGAAGAGAGCRKATTGATCCAATAATGATGATATTAACCTCGAGTCATGTGGTTTAAGTCTTGTTTCTCCACATCTTCAGCTATAGAACAAGTCCAGTTTCTTTGTCTTTGTTCTTTTAATTTTCCACGTCCTGGATGACTGAGAATCCACAGAAACTAATGATAGTTATATTGTTGTTGGTCTCGGACTGCAGCGATACTAAATTTAATCAATCGATACTTGACTTTTAGCACGCTGCTTGTTTCAAAACTAAAATGCTGCACTGGAGCATTCAGTCAAAAGCTACTTCAAATATAAACACTGAACTAAACAAGCATGTCAGATTTAATTGGCTCTGACTGAACTTCAGAATCAACACRCTAACAAGTAGCATACTTGTAAACAGCTAATTGAATGTGACATCTCATCATCTTCTGCCAATGCAGGTCGCATCAGGGCCGTGGAGAGTTTACACTGGAGTCAGATGGAAGTCGCYTTTAAAATATAATGTGTTCACACCAATAAAAGAGCATTAAGACCTTCAGTGTGTACATAACTATAGCCTTAAACCAGAGCAAAATCAAACTTGTCTTTAAATTTAAACTTGACTTTTCTAAATGCAGTTGAGCATCTCCAAAATGTATTTGAACTGACTGATAAATTGATTTTGACTTGTTTTCATTTCAATTTYGTCTTGCTCATCTACACTGATGTGAAACTTTTACACTTTTACTTTCTGAGTCTTTGAGATTCAAGGATTTGGTCAAATTTTAGTTAACAGGAGACTGKAATGTATCTTTGACTTTGATTCAAAGGAATAACGATGCAAAATTGACTTTACTTGGATGAATGCAGACTTGTGAGCTTGTCTCGTTGTAGTTTAGACTTTGACTTATCGAGACTTCCCTAAGACTTGGACATGTCTCAGTTGACAAGAGGAGTCAAACTTGACATGTTTTGGTTTATTGTACACTTGATTCTTACATGCATGCCCGGCCCGATTGAAACCACAGCTCTCCAGGTGGAGCTGGACCATAAGGGCTAAYGCAAAAATGCCAAACCTGGGTTTGTAGTTCAGTCGCGCCAGGCTGTGCAGTGTTAAATAATTGTTCTTGAAAGTGTTTTGACACCTAGATATCAAGATAAATATAGTGTCAGTATGAGGTCAATGATGATGCCTATAGGCTTAGAAGGGATTCCTGTTTTGATAGATTTTATTACCCAGTTGCATATTCAGTGTGCACTTGTCAATAAAGTAAAAAAATAAAGCCAAAGTATTAACAGAGTAGACTTACCTCTAACTGGATAGCTATTCTAAGATTTGGGCTATTCACACTGCAAATAAAAGTGACCCAAATTAACTTTTTTTTACTCCATAATAATGTACATCTGATTTTTGTCATTGAGGTAAAGGTATACAGACCAATCCATATACAGTACTGATAATACTGATACCAACATCATGCAGTTTAAATCTTGAACCCATCTGACCTATCTCTTAATCTTAACTTGCTTAACTTAAAAGTGGCTTTGAAAATGCTTAAACAAACAGCCTAAAGTTGAATTCCCAACAACAGCTCTAAGTTAGTTCTTCTAAAGTACAAAAAATGTGAAATGATGCTATTCTTGGTCTCATTTCAGAAAGCTGCTTGGTACAGTGGGTCCAACAACACTGAGGTACAATTTTGGAAGAGGAATGTGGTTCCTGGCACCACGATGGAGAGGAAAAGACCATTTTTGAGTATTCTTGTTTATGATAAAACAGGAGCAGGAGACCCATTTCCAAAATAAACACCCCCWACCCCCACCCCCCCAGCATCCTGGTTCTGGCTCCCTAACAGGGATATCAATCTGAGCCCACTGATTGTTCAACTTCACCGACAATGTCCTTGAAAACAACCCCTGAGAAAGTTTATGTCAAGCACGTATGTGCGTTTATGATTTTGTGCTAGCATTTGAATGTATGGGAACTGTCTGAGCACAACCAGACAAAATACCATTATTGAAAGCAACACAAACATTTGGCAGACTCCCCTCCCCTCCTTGTTTCAACGCCACGTCCTACTTCYTCAACTAATACCCGGCTCGCTATTTCAAATTCAAACACAACACGATGACAGCGCAGCACTATTGCTGTTTTTTATCAGAGAATGTCTCAAAACACATAAGTAGGCAGTATTTTTTCTGTCTCACCATGTTAATTTGGTCACATTAGTGGTTCCCTTTTTTTTTTTTACCAGCGGAATGTGTGGGAAAAGCTTGACAGATGAATTTATCCATCTCAGCACGATTTGCAAGACGTCAATGCTAAGAGAGATCTTCAGAAATCTAAACGGCACTTAATTTGTTTCTAAAGAGCTATAATAACTACTATAATGAAGTTACATAACTAAATTCAGTTTGTTTTGAATAAATTTGAGATCCTAACTTGACAGAAATAAAAGTTTGACAAATACATAGTTGACAAATGAGCTTATTTTTATAATCTAGCTGCTTTTAGTAGAGGGAAAGATTGTTTTTTCACTGAAGTATTTGGTAGATATGAGATGTGAAGTGGACTGTGTGGGTTAGAGGCGGTAAGGAAACAGTGGATGGGTTTGGGTTAGACATGCTAATGTTTTTTTTTTTTTATTACTCCCACAGGTCAAAAGCGTCAAAAAAGTTTGCTAAAAATTGAGCAAGCACTAGTTTTGAAGCCTACACGAAAATCACAAAAAGGAACACACATCTGGCCAGGTTTTTAATAACATAATCCAAAAAAAAAAAATCCTCCCACCTTCCTGTTTCTGACACTCTAATCTAGTTGGCAACATGTCACTGCTGGAAACAACAAGCCAAACAGAATCACATGAATCCCATTTTCTCAGAATTATCTGGCACTTAAATTATAAAAACACATTTAAATAATAAGTTATATTGCACTTGTGCTGTTTCACTGTGACCAAAGCCAAGAAATTCAATAAAACCAGCAAGACGTTGGCGAGCTTCTATTTATAGACGTCCTCTCTTTTGAGCGTATTAAACAGAGAAAATGATCCGTGGAAGCCGAGTAAAACATTATCCGGCACAACTCTACTGAAGAATCATCCTGGAATGTCAGACTTAATGACCTGAAAGAGAAACAGCTGACTGATATCACAAAGGTCATCTCGCATAATCAGAGTCACACAGGTCGTCTCAGTAAAGCAGACAGACCCACACTGTCTTGTGTTGTAGGTAAGGACAGAAACAAATGCAAGACTTTAGATGATTTAAAGGACCAAGAACAAGGTAGCAATTATACAGTGTTTGGACAAAATCAATCACCTCAGTGCTACGATAACAAATTTTGCTGGACAACAAATTGTCTCAGAAATTATTGCGATAAACGATAATATTGTTTGGAGAACAATCTTAAACAAATGTAAAGATATTTGTGCCTAGCAAATACCTGACACGAGAGTTCACTCCTCCCTATGCTAAGGAGTAGAAAAGATGGAGATACAAAGAAAACAAATACGGTAAGCAGGCTATGGAAAATTATCAACCTCATTTTAATTTATTGTGATTAAATGATTTATTACCCATCAAGACARGCCTATCTCAACAATTTAAGAGTCAAATCGTTTAAACTTTAGCTTTTGCTTTCAATATTCAATAGATGGAAGTTAAAATGGCAAACTTTTAAACCTACCTGTCGCCACGATTATCCACCGTTACACTGATCCAAGCTCAGCTCCCAGCATCCCTGATAACCAGACTTCAAGTTCAACCCCGCTCAAAAAGCAAYTTCAAAAAAATCTCTAAACGTTCCCAAAGTTTTCTGAGTTTCCTCTCCAACTCACACAAGTAACATTTCATCCRCAGGCTGGTTGTGGTCCGACAAAAGAGTCAAGAATGGCTGCAAAGGTGCGACACGTGAAAGTCCAAGAGCTGATGTSA